CCACCATCACTTTCTCCTGCCATTAAGCCAATTTTGTAACCAATTGGCAAGCTCATCCTGAATCCCATGTGATGAAATTTTACTAATTAGTCTACCATGGGGAACCTTGTCAAAGGCTTTACTAAAGTCCAAGTAAACAGTGTCTACTGCTCTGCCCTCCATCTTTTTGGTTACTTCCTCAAAACACTCGGTCAAGTTTGTGGGACAGTACTTCCCTCACACCCAACCGTGCTGATCATCCCTCATCATTCCTTGCCTCTCCAAATGCATATAAATCTGATCTTTCAGAATCACCTCCAACAACTTACCAATCGCTGAAGTGTGACTCAGAGGCCTACAGTTGCTAGGCTTCTCCTTACATCTAAGGTTTTGGAGTAGATTTGTAGCTCGGGTTGTGGGTGTTGAGGTTGGTTGGCTCGCCGAGCTGGTTTGTTGTTCCGCAGACTTTTCGTTACCGTGCTTGGTAACGTCCTCAGTGCAGTCTCTGAAGTGTCGGTGAGTTTTCCCGCCTGGCTTTTAAACTCTGGGGTCCGTTGCGATGGATTGCCTCACTTCCGGGTTTCCTCTGTAGTGGAAAGTGTATGGGGCCGAGTTCAATGTGTATATTAATAGCCTGCTTCGTGGAGAGCCATGCTTCCAGGAATTCTCGTGCTCGTCTCTGCCTAGCCTGTCCCAGGATCTTGGTGTTGTCCCAGTCAAAGTTGTGGTTCTCCTTGTCCATCTGGATTGAGATGAGGGAGTATTGGTCGTGTCTTTTTGTGGCCAATTGATGTTCATGTACTCTTGTTGTTAGTTTCCTTCCTGTTTATCCGATGTAGTGTTTCTCGCAGTCTCTGCAGGGGATCTTGTAGATGACATTGGTCCTGTCCGTGGCAGGGAGTGGGTCTTTAGTTCGGGTGAGTACTTGTCGTAGGGTTGATGTGGTTTGTGTGCCACTCTGATGCCCAGCGGTCGTAGAAGTCTTGTGGTGAGTTCTGACGTGTTCCTGACGTAGGGTAGCATGATGAGTATGTTGGGGCGTGTAGAATCTTTGATGCTGTTCCTGTAGGCATCTCCTGACCCAGTTCTTTGGATATCCATTATCCTTGAACACTTGGAAGAGGTATTCCTCCTCCTCTTGGTGTAGTTCCATGTTGCTGCAGTGTGTTGTTGCCCTTTTAAACAATGTTCGCACGCAGCTTCGTTTGTGTGTGCTGGGATGGTTACTATTGAAGTTCAATACCTGGTCTGTGTGTGTGGATTTTCGGTGTACTTTTGTTTGCAGTTCCCCATTTGTCTTGTGCTCTACTATGACGTCCAGGAATGGGAGTTGTTTGTTCTTCTCCTCCTCTCTGGTGAATTTTATTCCGGTGAGTGTTGTTTATGAGTTTGTGTCTCTTCTAATTTGGTCCGTTTAATGATGACAAAGGTGTCAACTACGTAGCGTATCCATAGTTTAGGTTGGATTTGCGGAAGGGCAGTCCTTTCCAGTCTTTGCATCACTGCTTCTGCTAGGAGTCTGGAGATAGGCGATCCCATGGGTGTCCCGTTGATTTGCTCGTATCTTTGGCCATTGAAGGTGAAGTGGGTGGTCAGGCATAGGTCCAGGAGTTTAAGCATATTGTCCTTGGAGATGGTTTCACTGGGGTCGTGTTCTTGTTCAAGTAGTGTTGTCATCGTTTCCCTTGCTAGTGGTATGTCTGTTGACGTGAATAGGGCGGTGACATCAAACGATATCATGATCTCTTCGTCCTCTATCTTTGTCTTTGATGGAGTTGAGGAATTCTTGGGCTGAGTGGATGGAGTGGGGTGATTTGTTGACTAGGTGCTTGAGTCTTTGTAGTTCTCTGGCTAATCTGTGCGATGGAGTGCTTGGTAGGAGGAATACCTCTTCCAAGTGTTCAAGGATAATGGATATCCAAAGAACTGGGTCAGAAGATGCCTACAGGAACAGCATCAGAAAGATTCTACACACCCTGACACACTCATCACACTACCCTACGTCAGGAACACATCAGAACTCACCACAAGACTTCTGCGACCGCTGGGCATCAGAGTGGCACACAAACCACATCAATCCTACGACAAGTACTCACCCGACCTAAAGACCCACTCCCTGCCGTGTAGATGACATTGGTCCTGTCCAAGATCCCCTGCAGAGACTGCGAGAAACACTACATCGGACAAACAGGAAGGAAACTAACAACAAGAGTACATGAACACCAACTGGCTACAAAAAGACACGACCAATACTCCCTCATCTCAATCCAGATGGACAAGGAGAACCACGACTTCGACTGGGACAACGCCAAGATCCTGGGACAGGTTAGGCAGAGACAAGCATGAGAATTCCTGGAAGCATGGCTCTCCACGAAGCAGGCTATTAATAAACACATTGAACTCGGCCCCATACACATTCCACTACGGAGGAAACCCGGAAGTGAGGCAATCCATCGCAACGGACCCCAGAGTTTAAAAGCCAGGCAGGAAAACCCACTGACGCTTCCTCAGAGGCTGCACTGAGGATGTTACCAAGTACGGTAACGAAACATCTGTGGAGCAACAAACCAGCTCGGCGAGCCAACCAACCTCGATTCTCCTTGCATCCTTTCTTAAGTAAAGGCACAAAATTAGCCACTCTCCAGTCATCTGGCACCTTACCTGTAGTTATAGATGATACAAGGGACCTTGCAATTTCTTCCCTAACTTCACATAACATCCTACAATACACTAGATCAGATCCTGGAGATTTATCCACCTTTATTTTCTAAAATCTCCAGCACTGCCTCGTCTGTAATATGAACTGTTTTCAAAACATCAATATTTATTTCCCTGAGTCCTCTAGCCTCCATTTCTTTCTCCACAGGAAAACTGGTGCAAAATATTCATTTACTATCTCTCCCATCTCCTGAGGTTCAACAGAAAGACAACCCCATTGATCATTACAGGGCCCTGCTGTCTCTCTAGTTGCTCGCTTGCTCTTAATGTACTTACAGAATATCTTTGGATTATCCTTAACCTTATTGGCCAAAGCTATCTCATGTCCCCTCTTTGCTGCCTTCATTGTGCTCTTAAGAATGCCCCTACACTCTTTATACTGTTTAAGAGATTCATTTGATTCCAGTTGTCTATATCTGATTTTTCTTTTATTCTTGATTAGAACTTCAATATCCTATTCGCCCATTGTTCACTAATCCTACCAGCCTTACCTTTCAGTCTAACAGGAACGTATTGACTGAACCCTGGTTATTTTTAAACTTTCCATTTATCAGACGTCCCTTTAACCTGTGAACAGTCTACTCCCATTAACTTTTGAAAGTTCTGATCTCATACCATTTAGAATTTGCCTTACTCTAATTTTAATTTTTATGGAAGGCTTATACTGTTCCATAACTATTTTAAAACAAATAAAATTATGATCACTAGACCCAAAGTTTTCCCTATTACCACTTCAGTCACTCGCCCTGTCTTGTTACACAGGAGAACGTTAAGGTTTGCTCCTTTTCTGGTAGGAATATTTGCATGTTGATGAAGAAAATTTTCCTCAGCGCATTTAACAAATTCTTCTTCATCCAAGCTTTTAATGCTATGGTAGTCGCAGACAGTGTTTGAGAAGTTAAAATCATCTATTTCAGCCTCATCATTTTTACATATAACTGAGATCTCTATGTATTTGTTCCTCAATTTCCCTATGCCTATTTGTGGTAAATAAAAACTGAAAGAACTGCGGATGCTGTGAATCAGGAACAAAAACAAAGTTGCTTGGAAAGCTCAGCAGGTGTGGCAGCATCTGTGAAGAGAAAGAGTTAACGTTTCAGATCCGGTGACCCTTCCTCAGAACTGTTCTGAGGAAGGGTCACCGGACTTGAAACTTTAACTGTTTTTCTTTTTCTTCACAAATGCTGCCAGACCTGTTGAGCTTTTCCAACAACTTTGTTTTTGTCCCTGTTTTACAGCATCCGCAGTTCTTTCGTTTTTTATTATGCATCCACTGCTGTTTGTGGAAGGGAGTTCCAAACATATACCACCATTTGTGTGTATAAGTGCTTCCTAACTTTTTTGTCTTGAACAGTCTGGCCTTAATTTTCAAATGTACTCCTTAGTTCTAGAATCCCCAACCAGCGGAAATAGTTTATCTTCTTCTATTCTGTTAATAACTTGAAGGCTTTCATCAGGTCACCCCTTAAAGTTCTAAATTCTAGAGAAAACAGGCTTAAATTATACAATCTCTTCTGGTAACTTAAAATCCTGTTAACCACTGAAATTCAAGTATCATTCTTGTAAACGTTTGTACTCTTGGAATATCCTGGCATTTCCTCCCAAACAGCATTTTGAGAATACCTAAACCACATGGACTGAAGTGCTTCAAGAAGGCAGTTTACCACTACTTCCCAAGGATCACCAGAGAAGGGTGACACGTGCTGGTCCAGCCAGTGAAGCACGTCACATAAATGAAAAATAATTTAGAAAAGTCCTGTTTAGTTAAGTGTGCCTACTGAAGAATGATTTTCCCTCCCCCATTTCTGGTGAAGGGTCTAGGCCCGAAACGTCAGCCTTTCTACTCCTATGTTGCTGCTTGGCCTGCTGTGTTCATCCAGCTCTACACCTTGTTATCCCACTTCCTGTCATTTTTGTCTGATGCAAATATGTTGGGCCTCATTTGAATGCACCTTGGGTTATATTAACAAAGCTAATATAAAAAAAAATGTTTTTGTAGTAACTTACAAGAGACCAAGCTTGAAGCTCATTGGACTTTCTAGAAATGGTATTTTATGCAGATGCTTACAAGTGTTGTGGCAGCTACTTGCACTAGTTTAAAATCTTGGACTATTTGGTTTTCTTTTATCTTTGGAGATGTTTAACAAGGCAAAACTTAAAATTTGACTATATGGACTAAAATTTGATTAGTGTGATCTTTTATTGAATGCAAATCAAGACTGATCAACAGAATAGATCATTCATTCCTCAATGCCATGTTTCATGTTGCACTGGAATTATTGGTTGATTGGCTTTTTTTTTAGTCACAGATCAGCTTCAAAGGGAAGAAATTGAAGATAGGACCTGCAATCAGGAAGCAGCAAGATTCATGTAAGTGGAGTTTTGGCTTATCAAGGTGGCTGATATATATAAATTGTTCTATTTAAAAGTGGTGAAGACTATCACTTGAATCCTTGATTAGGATGAAGTGCTTCAGTCAGTGTGCCGTCTTGATCCTGACAATCCCTGCCTCTGTCTTGAAGGGTTTTCTACTGTTACTGTCAGCTGTTTGTAAGAAGTCAGATGCTACCAGGTTATAGTCCATCAGGTTTTTTTATGCAATTACAAGCTTTTTGGAGCATTTTCCCTGTTTGTCAGGAAAGTTTTTGACCTTGTCTGCCTGAGTCCAGCACCAGCACCTCCACATTGTAATGGAGTGTGCTGATCCCAATCAAGCATCATGTAATAAAGTTCAAACTAAGTGTAAAAGTGGGTTTGCATCTAGAACATCAGGCTGCATGTTACGGTATTTTATACTTGTTTTAAGTAAAATATTTAGACCCTTTTTAAAAAGTGCTTATTTATGGTGGTAACTGCTTTTCAATCCTCTGAGTAATGGTGGAATAATGTACAAGTTTCTATTATGGTCACTGGCAAAAACTGATTTTCTGTTGTGTTTTCAGCTGCAACAGAAGGTTTTTTATTTGCTCTTTAACAGTACCTCCAGTTTGTTACAAATGATCTGTTAAGCAATAGATTTTAGTACATTTGGGTGAGCAAGAGTTATATTAAGGGCAATGATCTTCAAACACTGCTTCCAAGTGGCATCAGATACACGTGTGCAAGTGCAGAGATCAAGTGAAGTATCCATCAGATATTTTTATTATGACAGAGTAGGGCTTTAAAAAATATTAGATTCAAATGAAATTCAACATTTGAAATATTTTGCTGTTATATTAATTTGAAACGATCTCTCATTGAGAATGAACCTGGCCGCAGGACAGGGATCACTTTCTTGCAGATTCAGCTATTTTCAAAGACATGGTTGCCCTGCGAAGTCTTTGGCTTTAGATTATGAATTCCAAAACTTAGTTACTGTTTTTTTTTACACTGATTAGTTCTTATCTGTTGGTTTCTTCACCTTGTTTTCTTGAGTGATTTTGAACCTTTCTCCACTGTCCACCTGGTAGTGAATCTAATCTGGGACCAGAACTTCTAAACATTGACCCTGCTGCTAGCCAAAGCTTTGTTTATCTTGGCCAGGACCGATGTCTTGTGATCACTGCAACCCACTTCAACCTTTGTTGCTGTTTCATAGCTCGGACTAAAACTGTGAATGCCAGTGGTCGCGCACTGAATATAATAAAGTACCTTCAGATTGTCTCTGCTCTCGGACTTGAGCACAAAAATCAAAGCTGACACTCCAGTGCAGTGCTGAAGGAGGGATTGTTTCATGGATGAGCCATTTAACCAGGGCCACGTCTAGATGAATTTAAGATAACCCATGACACACTTTCCATGGCCAGTGTTCATCCTTTGATCGACATCGCAAAACAGATTGTCTGGTCATTGTCACATTATTTGTGGAACTGGATGAGTGTAAAATAACTCCCGTATTTCCTACATGGGAATGATGACTTTGGCTGTAAAGTGCTTTGTCATTTAGTGGTCGTGAAAAGGGCTGTGTAAGTGCCTGAGTAAGCAACCTTTTATTAAAACTCTATTCTAAATTTTTAAGTGATTGTGTGCACTTTGTTTGATTTTCATGTATGTAAGTATCAGGTTATATTTTTCTGTCCACAAAAGACCAATGAATGGTATAAAATAACATCAGGCTGAGTTTGAACCATCAGCTTCCAATAGAGCTGCTTTATTTATTTCATGAAATGTGTGCTCCACTGCCAAGGCCATCATTTATTTTTGAGCCACTGCACTCCGTGTCATGTAGTTAGTCTCCCAGTGCTTTTTAGGAAGGGAGTGGTCTGGATTCTGACTAAACAACTCTGAAGGAAAACAATATAGTTCCAAGTCACAGTGTGGCTTGGAGGGGAACTTGCAGATATTGGCGTACCCATGCACCTGCCCTTGTCCTTCCAATAAATAGAGATGGTGTATTTGGAAGGTATTATTGAAGAAGTTTGAGTTGCTGCATTGCATCTTGTAATCTGGTCATGGAGGGAGTGAATGTTGAAGCTGTTAAATAAAATGACAGTCAAGCAGGCTGCTTTATTGTGTTGAGCTGTTTGTGTTGTTGGAGCTGCACTCATCCAAGGAAGTGGGTAGAGTATTCTGTCATGTTCTTGACCTGTTTGCTAGATGGTGGACAGGCACTGGGGGAGCAGAGGGTGAATTACTTGCAGATTTTCCAGCCTCTGACCTGCTCTTTGCAACTACATTGTTTATGTGGCTAGTCCGTGGTAATATCTAAAATCTTGGTAGCAATGTATTCAGTGGTGATAATGCCATTGAATGTTATGGGACTAGGGTTAGATTTTCTAATTGGAGATGGTCATTGCCTGGCACTCATACAGCATGGATTTCACTTGCCACTTATTAGCCTGAGCCTCAATGATGTCCAAATCATGTTGCCTAAATGGACATTAAGTATTGCTTGTCCCATTTTTTTAGTTCTCCATTCTAAAAGTTAAATATACTGCTTTAAACCAAGGAAGCTGTGTAAGAAGCTGCTTGTACTTCTGAAAAAAAAAAAGTGCATATACATAATGTTGACTTAATGGAGCACTGAGGGAGAATTCCAGACCAATCTGCTCTGTCTTTGTATGTTCAGGGCAATTCTGCCCAGAGGCAGTCTTTGACGTTTTAATTGGCACCATCTGTTATGGGCTCAAAAGCTCAGCATCGTAACACCCTATTAATTGGTTCCTGGCCTGGGGGCTACAGCCTTGTCTGTGGATAAAGCAGCACAGATACCTAGCCTAGTGTGGAGTTCGAGGAGTACAGCAGGTCTGGCAGCATCAGGAGAACAGGAAAGCTGACATTTTGGGTCGGGACCCTTCCATAAGATCACAAGACATAGCAGAAATTAGGATATTCGGCCCATTGAGTCTGCTCTGCCATTCAATCGTGGCTGATAGATTCCTCAGCCCCATTCTCCTGCTTTCTCCACGTAACCCTTGATCCTCTTGATAATCAAGAACCTATCTATCTCAGTCTTAAATGTACTCAATGACCTGGCCTCCACAGTGGCAGTGAATTCCATAGATTCACCATTCTCTGGCTGAAGAAATTTCTCCTTATCTCCGTTCTAAAAGGTCTTCCCTTTACTCTAAGGCTGTGCCCTCGGGTCCTAGTCTCTCCTACCAATGGAATCATCTTCCCAACATCCACTCTGTCCAAGCCATTCAGTATTCTGTAAGTTTCAATTAGATCCCCCCTCATCCTTCTAAACTCCAATGAGTATAGTCCCAGCGTTCTCAAACTTTCCTCATGTTAAGCTTTTCATTCCTGGGACCATTCTTGTGAACCTCCTCTGAACCCGCTCCAGGGCCAGTACATCCTTCCTGAGATATGGGGCCCAAAGCTGCACATAATACTCCAAATGTGGCCTGACCAGTGTCTTATAAAGCCTTGGTAGTACATCCCTGCTTTTATATTCAAGTCCTGTCAAAATAAATGCCAACATTGCATTTGCCTTCCTGACTACTGACTCAACCTGCAAGTTTATCTTGAGGGAATCCTGGACTAGAACTCCCAAGTCTCTTTGCACTTCAGACTTCTGAATTTTCTCCCCATTTAGAAAATAGTCCATGCTTTTATTCTTCTTACCAAAGTGCATGACCTCACACTTTCCTATGTTGTACTCCATCTGCCACTTCTTTGCCCACTCTCCTAACCTGTCCAAATCCTTCTGCAGCCTCCCCACCTCCGCAATACTACTGTCCCTCCACCTATCTTTTTGTGTCATCTGTAAACTTAGCCAGAATGTCCACAGTTCCTTCATCTAGATCATTAATGTATAAAGTGAAGAGTTGTGGTCCCAGCGCTGACCTTAGTGGAACACCACTTGTCACTGACTGCCATCCTGAGAAAGTCCCTTTTATCCCCACTCTCTGGCAGAAAGCAATCTTCTATCCATGCTAGCACCTTGCCTGTAACACCTTGGGCCCTTATCTTACTCGGCAGCCTCCTGTGCGGCACCTTATCGAAGGCCTTCTTGAAGTCCAGGTAGATAACATCCTTTGGCTCTCCTTGGTCTACGGTGCTCGTTACTTCAAGAATTCTAGCAGATTTGTCAGACATGACCTTCCCTTGATGAAACCATGCTGACTTTGCCCTATTTTACTATACACTTCCAAGTATTCAGAAATCTCATCCTTTACAATGGACTCTCAAATCTTAACCACGAATGAGGCTAATCAGCCTGTAATTTTCCATCTTTTGCCTTACTCTCTTTTTGAACAGGGGCATCGGTAGCGATTTTCCAGTCCTCTGGGACACTCCCTGACTCTAGTGATTCCCAAAAGATCACCACTAACGCTTCTACTATCTCCTCAGCTATCTCCTTTTAGAACTCTGGGGTGTAGCCCATCTGGTCCAGGTGATTTGTGCACCTTCAGGCCAATCCGTTTTACTAGCACTTTTTTCTTGGTGATGGCCACCATACTCCGCTCTGCCCCCAGACTCTCTTGAATTTTTGGGATATTACTCGTGTCTTCCACCGTGAAGACTGACGCGAAGTAATTATTCAGTTCCTCAGCCATTTCCTTGTTCCCCACTACTATCTCTCTACCGTTGTTTTCCAGTGGTTCAATGTCCACTTTTGCCTCCCTTTTGCCCTTTATATATTTAAAGAAACTCTTACAGTCTTCCTTTTTATATTACTGGCTAGCTTACCCTTAGATTTAATCTTCTCCCTCCTTATTTCTTCTTCTTGTTACCCTCTGTTGGTCTTTGTAAGCTTCCCAGTCCTCTGGTTTCCCACTGCCCTTCCCCACATTATATGCTTTCTCCTTTTGCTTTTATGCTATCCCTGACTTCCTTAGTCAGCCATGGTTGCCTTATCCTCCCTGTACCATGCTGCTTTTTCCTAGGGATGAATTATTACTGCGTCTCCTGAATTACTCCCAGAAACGCCTGCCATTGCTGTTCCAATGTCTTTCCTGCTAGGCTCCCCTTCCGGTCAATTCTGCTCAGCTCCTATCTCATACTTCTGTAGTCACCTTTATTCAGCTGTAATACCGTTACCTCTGATTCTGTCTTCTCCCTCTCAAATTGCAGAGTGAATTCTATCATCTTATGATCACTGCCTCTTAAGGGTTCCTTTTACCTTAAGCTCCCTTATCAAGTCTGCCTCATTGCACAACATTATGTCCAGTATTTCCTGTTCCCTTGTGGGCTCCACCACAAGCTGCTCCAAAAAGTCATCTTGTAGACATTCCACAATCCACTACCAACATGATTTTCCTAGTCCACCTGCATATTGAAATCCCCCATGATCACTGTGACTTTGCCTTTCTTACACACCGTTTCTGTCTCCTGGTGTATCTGGTGCCCACGTTCCTGACTACTGTTTGGAGGCCTGTACACAACCCCAACTATGTATTTTTTTACCTTTGTGGTTCCTCAGTTCTACCCACACAGATTCTACACCATCTGACCCTACTTTGTTTCTTCCTGTTGATTTTAATTTCATTTCTCACTAATAAGGCAACCCCACCCCCTTCGCCCACCAGCCTATCTTTTCGGTAGGATGTATATCCATTAATATTCAGCTCCCAATCCTGATCTCCTTGCAGCCACGTCTCCGTGATGCCTACCGCGTCATACATACTGGTTTCGATCTGCGCCACAAGCTCATTTACCTTATTCCTTACACTGCATGCATTCAGATATAACACCTTCAGCCCTGTATTAACCCTCCCTCTTCTCATTTTCATGTGTTTTTCCAGTGTTTGATTGCTAACCTTTTCCAAACACACTATCCTATTTGTGGCTGTGCTGGAGACTTTAATAGTCTGTCCTGAATTCTCCTTCCCTGTCATTTCTTTCATATTTTTCCACTTAGTTGAATCCACCACTACAGATGTTAACCTGCTTTCTTTCCCACTGGGGCAAGTTTTACCATTTCCTTTCTCTATTCCCCCTCCTCCTCCCCCTCCTCCTCCTCCTCCCTCCCCTTCCCCCCCGACCCCCCAACTTTCTAGTTTAAAATCCTGTTGACCAGCCTATTTAGCCTTTTCGCTGGAACATTGGTCCCAGCTCGATTCAGGTGGAGACCGTCCCATCGGTACAGATCCCTCCTGTTCCAATACTGATGCCAGTGCCACATGAAAAGGATCCCCTCTTTCCCAGCACCACTCTTTTAGCCACGTGTTTACTTCCCTTATTCTCATGTCCCTATGCCAATTAGCACATGGCTCGGGCAGAAATCCGGAGATTATAACCCTTGAGGACCTCTTCTTTATTTTGGTTCCTAGCTCCTGATAATCTCTGAACAGGTCCTCTTTCCTAGTCTTGCCTATGTTGTTTGTTCCGGTACGGACCACATCAACTGGATCCTCCCGCTCCCGCTCCAATATCCTTTCAAGCCAGTGAGAGAGATCCCTTGTATAACAAGATGTAGAGCTGGATGAACGCAGCAGGCCAAGTAGCATCAGAGGAGCAGGAAAGCTGACGTTTCAGGTGTAGACCCTACAGCCTTTTCTGAAGAAGGGTCTAGGCCCAAAACGTCAGCTTTCCTGCTCCTCTGATGCTGCTTGGCCTGCTGTGTTCATCCAGCTCTACACCTTGTTATCTCAGATTCTCCAGCATCTGTAGTTCCTACTATCTCAGATATCCCTTAACCTGGCACCGGGCAGGCAACCTGCCGTGCGGGACTCTCGATCCTGCTTACAAAGGATATAATCTATTCCCCTAATTATAGAATTATTGGTACCTTCATCAGGACCTGACTCAATGTCGATTTTCCTATTCCTCTGATGCTGCTTGACGTGCTGTGTTCCTCCAGCTCCACACTGTATTGACTCTGACTTCGAGCATCTGCAGTTCTTGGTACAGATATCTACCTTGCAAACAGATCTTTCCATTTCTCATGTTGTCTCCCTTTCCTTCTCTGTTGGAGAAATAAAGTAAAATTCCTAGCAGCTAGCCATTTAGTATTTTTAGACTGAAACTGCAGATAGCTTCAGCAAGAGCTAACATACTCAGTTTCAAGTAACCTTTTCAAAGTTTTATCCCATCTCAGGTGTACCAGTCTACACAGCTCCACTCAAAGTTAAAACTCTATCAAAATCTCCATCTCTAGACTATGGGTGTTTCCCTCAAGCTTATTTTCTTAAAGTGTACCAGAACACTCCTAACAAACCTTGACAATCCACTATTTACATTTTCTGGATTGCAGAATAATCTAAAGTAAACAAAAGTCCATAACTGGTGCACAAAACCAAGTCAATCTAAAGCCAGGTTTCAAAATTATTTTAAAATAAATCAAGGCTACAGAAATGATAAAAACAAATATTGTTAAATTCAGAGACACAGCAAATCTGTGTTATTAACCAAAAACCTAGAAACACCAAATTACAACACATAATATTAACATACATAAAAATCCTATACTATACCTTAAGTCATCAGCAGAGAGTCAGGAAGAATCTGAAGGAAACAAATCAACCACGACAGGTAGACTTGACAGTGAGGTCCAGTGAGTTGTCCCCTCTTGGTTCTGTCACCACCTGCTGCGGATCAGTGTAGTAACCATGTCCTTTAAGCCTAGTCAGTATTGGTGCTACACAGCCACTCTGTGATGGACATGGAATTCCACCACCCAGAGTACATCTGTGCCCTTTGCCACCATGCTTTTTTCCCAGTGATTCAACAGCAGAGGGAACAGTGTAGTGGTAGTAGAAATCATCCGTATTTGCCCATGACCTGATGCAACGAGACGTCTGGAGTCCATGTTGCAGGGTCCCAGTGCATCTTTCTCCTATCTGTGCCATTGTGATGTCCTGAGGTAGGATTGTACTCATGGACTCCTAACCTTACAAATAGTGTTAGGGTATTTGCTTGACTAAAATTTGGCACAAACTCCCAGATGTCAGGACTGCGGAGTTGACAGGTCTGCATTACCATTTGTCATTTCTGGCTCCTCGTTCATGCCAGGTGCTTCATCTGGTTTCACAGAGAATGCTCAGAATATACCATTAGTGTTGGCATCTTTCTCAAAGTTTTAAAATAAAATGCCATTAGAGCAGTATGTACAAACTAAGATTACTTAGTCATGCTTAAAGGGACAAAAATCTTTCAAAATAGCAAATGAAAGTAATTTGCTGGAAAGTGTTTTTTTTTAAATCTGGCATTATCTCACGGCGTCAGTACTTTCAGGATGGTCATCCAAACTGCAAGAAACCAGTCTACCAAAAACGAGGTGGACTTTTACTCATTGAAAAATAATATGCTTGTACTGTGAAACATCTCTTGGATATAAAGCTGCAATCCATTCTGTTGAGGTGGAAGATCCCATAACACTAGTCAGAGAGGACTAGTCATCCAGCATCCTGCCAACAGATCACCTTCACTTAAACCAGTTTAAGGAGATAGGATAACTCAATTCTGCTTTTGCATCTTGCTGTGTGTGAATTGGTTGGTGTGTGCTTGCCTAAGTTACAGCATTTCAAAAATATGACTTCAGCTGTGATGGATATTTGTATATCCTGAGGAAGCAGAAAGTAGTACATAATTACAAATATATCCCTTAAACTGGTAAATAAACTGAAAAGGTAAAACCAGATTTTCATGTATGTAATTTAAAGCAAATTAGCAAGCATGTAAAGCAAATATTTGATGAATTTGGCAAAATACTCTTCTTTACGAGGCTACGCTATGCTTCAGCATTGCTTGTGGGGAATCATTGTAATATTTTGCCATCCTTGTATGAATTATGTTCTTAGAATTTTAATGTTCATGTTCTTGTTCTTGTTTTCTTATCAAGATCCAATTCATTTGGTTCAGGCAAGACCAGCTCCTCTAATAACGTCTCCAACTCCTTGTGTGTGCCAAAATACAGACACATATTTTCAATCGCCTGGATTTCCTGGGTCAGCTCTTCAGTATGTGCAAGTAAGTTAAATTAACCATTTTTGTGTACAAATTTTATCTCCATTTGAAACACCTGCTGCTTTAGATATAAATTTGTTCTAAGTACTGTAGTTTTTGAAGAATTTTTGTTATCTGCTCGTGATTGGGAGGGATTGAAAAGTCCAGTATAAAATGTTCTGCAAATGTATGAAATGAATGTCTTTTTATGATTCTATTGTCCGTACGATTCACAAGCATTATTAATGGGAAAGTTTTTAACCCATGGTTAACCTTTATATTTAGCTGATCCTAATTTCAAATCAGTTTGCGTTTTCTTAACAGTGATTTATGATTTAAAGCCCAGAATAAATGTCAGCATCTAATTAAAGACCTGAATAACTTGGTTTTACATAGTCATAAGAATGAAAACTAATGTATTTCATCCATACCAATGTGGCATTGTTTTACTCATATTTAAGTTTTGAAGGCCATTTATGCAATGACAATACTTTATTTATTTGTTTATAGGATGTGGGTGATGCTTGCTAGGCCAGCATTTATCACCCTCTCCTGATAGCCCTGGAACTATTAACTTGTTAGGCCATTTCAGAGGACAGTTTAGAGTCAACCACATTGCTATTGGTCTGGAGTCATATGGGAGTCAGGTGGATTAGGCTCAAGGAGCTGAACTCCTGTTCCTATATGTAGAGCAGACCAGGTAAGAATAGTAATTTTCCACCCCTAAAGGACATCGGTGAACCAGATGGTTTTTAAATATAATGGTTAGTGGTTACATGGTTGTCATCAGGCTATCTTTTTATTTAACTTTTTTTTAATTTGATTTAGTTGAATTCGGACCCCACCATCTGTCATGCTGAGATTTGAACCCATGACCCTAGAACCTTAGTCTTGGATTCTGGATTGCTACTCTATTGACATTACTTTCACTCTTACTGATTGCTATCTTCCATTCTTACTCACTTCTTTAGTATAATAATTTTCAGAAATTCAATTATGTTGGTGGACTTAACTTCTGCCAGCATGGGAAAGTCGAGAAGCAAATTCTGGAGGCGCATTTAAAATTGATGAATGCTTAAGTCCGACCTAATTTTCATTGCTATGGAGGCTGTACTGAACGATGCCTTGAGGCTGGAAGAATGAAAGTTTTGAAAGTGAATTTAAGCGGTGTTCGCCTGTGAGAAACTTGTCTTTGCATTTAAGTTTATTTAATTTAACATTTTGCCTCTGCCAGCACTTCAGGTAGGTGAAGAGGTTGGGAGAGAAGAAGGAAATGTCTCTCTGGATCATTCACAGCATCTGGCGTCAAGTTTGCACCAGGGAATACTGTCAAGCTCATTAGAAGGTTTTCATTCTGTGAAGGATGTTTTATTTTTCAAAAAAAAAAATGGGGTGCTGTATCTTCCTAAATCTAGACGTGGAGGTAAAGTAGCACAGCGAGTTGCCAGAGCCTGGATACCTGGGGTGTAGGAGACAGGGTAACCAAGACCAGCAGGAATGAGGACGAGCTGATGCCTTCAGGTACTGGAACTGCTGAAACTACCTGGACATGTTAGAATGATAATGAAAGAAAAGGCTCAGGCTGTCAAGACCGTACATCAAGGACATTTCAGAGATGACCACAAGACTACTCAGACCCCTAGGTATCAGAGTATCAGACCCTTTTTTTTTTTTTTAAAAGGATCTCCTACCCAAAAACGGTAAAATATACAATACACCTTGCAAGGACTGTGAGAAACACTGCATAGGCCAGACTGGAAGAAAACCGGTATTAATGTTGCCACTTGTCAGCCCAAACCTGAATCTGAGGAATCGCAAATTGTTGTGAACATTGTGCAATCATCAGTGAACCTCCACATTTCTGAGATTTATAATGAAGCCACTGAAATGATTGGGTCCAAAGGATCTCCTGCAGAGAGATCTTGTAGCTTAGATTGACCTCCAGCAAAGGCAACCATTTCTCCTTATGTGACAGATATGACTCAAACCAGTGGAGGGTTTTATCCTAATTCCCATTGATTCTAGTTTTGTTAGTTAGGCTAATAGGATGGTAGTTGGCTAGATAGGATTGCTTTGAGTTCAGGTTATATCTGGGCAATTTGTCTCACTGTCTTGTGGATGCCAAGGTCATAGCTTGCTGGAACAGCTTGGCGAGGGAACCCTGAAGTTCTGGAGCACACTTTTTTTCACTGCTATTGCTGGACTATTGTTAGAGCCTATAGCCTTTTGGCTTCAACTGTTTCTTGGTATCATGCAATGTGAATCATATTGGCTAAAGATTGACTTCTGTAGTGCTGGGGATCTGTGGAGGAGGCAGAGAGTGATCATCCATTTGACACTTCTAGCTGAAGGTTGTTGCAAATGTTTCAGCCTTGCTTTTGCTCTGAGTTTGCTCCCTCATTGTCCAGGATGGGGATATTTGAAGCTGCCTCCTGCAATGAGTTGTTCAATTGTCCACCACCATTCCCAACTCCATGTAGCAGGATTGCAGAACTTGGATCTGATCTGTTGGTTCTGGACTAGCTTGGCCCTGTCTATCACTTGCTGCTGATTGGCATGCATGTTGTCTCTTCATCAGGCTGACATTTGATTTTTGGTAGTCCTATTGCTTCTATGTCATCCCCTCTTTGCATTCTACTCATCACACGCAAATCTACCTAGTTTTGTGCTGTCAGGGATCTTGGAAACATGCTTTCTTCCATCTTGAATAGCTGGACCCCAAGCATTGATCTCTGCAGCATACCATCTTCCACTGAAAAAGACCCATTTATTGCTGCTGTCTGTTTCCCCTTGGCCAAACAAATATCAATCTTCGACCAAGGTCACCCCACCACCACCACCACCAACTGTGGTTGACAGGATCGTCAGCCATTTTGGACTCGCTTCTGACATGTCTGCCCTCATTTCTCTTCCCTCTCTCCCAGAGCAAGATAGGGTTCCCCTAGTCTTCACTTTCTAGCCCACCATTTTTTATTCACTGTGGGTTATGGACATCGCGTTAATCACCCTTCCATAGTTGCCCTAGTTGTCTCTAGATTCAAAGGATCCTCTTTCACCATATCTGCCACCTTTAGCAGGATTCTGCCACCAAACACATTTCGCCTCCCTTCCACTTTCAGCATTCCAAAAGGACTGTTGCCATTGTGACACCCTCCTTCATGCCACTCCTAATGCATCCTCACCTTCCCAGGCAAGTACAGAAAGTGCAAAATTCAGCCTTTCACCTTCCTAACTTTCCAGAGTCCCAAACACACCTTCCAGGTGAAGCAGCATTTTACTTGTACTTCTTTCAATCTCGTCAACTGTTTTTGCTGTTTACAATGTGGTTTCCTTTACATTAGTGAGACCAAATGAAGTTGGGCTGACTAATTTGCAGAACACCACTCTGTAAGAATGACCCTAACTTTCTATTTCTTTGCTATTCTAATCAACCATCATGCTCTCATGCTAACAGTTCTGTTGTGCACTTATTATAGTATTCCAATGAAGCTCATTGCAAGCTAGAGGAATAGCACCTCATTTTCTATTTGGTTGCTTTACAGTCTCCTCCTGGACTTCGTATTTGGGTACAACAACTTCACAGAGCAAACTCTGCCCTCAATTTTGATTAAACTGTACTTGCCCACCAGCATTTTGTAGCATCTTCCAGTTCTGAAGAAGAGTCCTATCACATCAATGTTAGTGGTTTCTCCCTCCACAGATGCTGCCATTTTCTGTTTATATCCTGTATAAATACAAGATGTTTTGTACTCTAAATTTAAAGTACAACAACAAAATTAATGGTCCACATGTATGAGTGTTTTTTTTTCTATCCTGCAGACTTATTCATATCCGAGTCCTCCTGCTGTGGCATTACCACAAGTACAAATGGGATATCCACATCCTGCATATAATTATCAGGTGAAATTTAATGTTGTACAATTTAACCTCCCCTTTGTCTAGCTTAAATATAAATGATATTTAGTGTATGGACTTATAGCAATATAGACCTCAACCAAGGAAGCAGAGACTCTTTGCAAAATTAATTTAGTGGATTTTTTTTCTCCAATTGAGAGACCAATAGTGTGTTTGATTGGAGTATGGGAAGGTGTCTGGGTTGGGGTGCGGACGTTGAGGAGAGGTTGGGTATAATTACTTTCTTTTAGTGATTCAACCAAAGCTATTAAAAGTATGGAACAAACACTGAGAATGCTGGAGAAACTCAGCAGATCTAGGAGCATCTCTGGAGAAATAAAGAGTTAATATTTCATAGATAGTAGGAACTGCAGATGCTGGAGAATCTGAGATAACAAGGTGTAGAGCTGGATGAACACAGCAGGCCAAGCAGCATCAGAGGAGCAGGAAGGCTAACCACTTCTGAAGAAGGGTCTAGGCCCGAAACGTCAGCCTTCCTGCTCCTCTGATGCTGCTTGGCCTGCTGTGTTCATCCAGTTCTACACCTTGTTATCTGTTAATATTTCATGTCCAGTATAACTCTTCAGGCTCTGTCTTTTCTCCTAGAAATGCAGCTGGGCCTGCATAGTTTCTCTGGTATTCTGTTTACATCAGGTTTCCAGCATCTACAGTGTTTTGCTTTCCATTAGAAGTGTGAGCAGAATTACAATAGCAGAATATTGTGCATTGTTTGGAGATCTGAAATAAATACCAAGTGTTGGAGATTTTTGGCAAGTCTGACAACATCTGTGGCTAGAGAAATGAATTTTAAGGTTTCTATTTCAATGACTTGAAACATTAACTCGTGCTGTCAGACCTGAGTTTCTCCAGCTTTGTGAGATGTTTGTTATCTGAGCCAAATTTTAAATACCGAATTGATTAGTTATCTAGAAATGGAATTTGTTCAGGCTTTGTTGCTGACCACTGATAATCTGAACATCATATTCTAAGCAGAAGAGTAAAGAGAGAATAGGTAAAACTGATTTAGATTTTTTTTTTTAAAAACTGCATTGATAATGAACAGGTTTTTTAAAAATCTGGCTTTAGTGTTTAGGTTGTAGAATGGTAGATATTTATTCCACAGGAAGTCTGGTCTTTTTCTACCTATTTATTCTTTGATAGAATAATTCTCCCTGAATATTGCTTCTCCATGGCTTTGTATCTTTACATGCTTCAAATATTTAAATTTTCGTAGAATCATAGTTTTGTTTATCAGGAAGCTTACAAAATGTTGCCTTCAACAGATCATTGCTTTCAATTTATTCAGATAAAATTTCATGGGTGGAATTTTCAAGATCCACTTAGAGTCGGTGGGGAATGTAATTGAATGGAACCCAAAATTTTTGTTTCATGACAGTGGGTTAAACTTCTGGTTTTGAGTTCTCAAAGATTTCAGGTGTGTTGGCCTTCCAAACCTTTTGTGCGATCTGTTTTGCATTCATTAGTATATCATGAATGCTTATCAGCATAATTCCAGTAGGGTGTGGTATTCACAGATGCAATTTTTTTAACTTAAAAAGGAGAAAGGGGTGTGTCTGTGTGTGCATGCATTTAGATCAATGAAAACATAAGATGTGTACCTGTGGGTTAAGCTGTGGTTAGTATAACATTAATCCCTTCCTTGGCTTCTTCAGAAACAAGTTTTGTTGAGGGGAGGTTTTCCATGTTCAGCAGCTCCTGATAAGATGCATTCATAGGTAGTTAAGCCTCTACATTTAAATACTTACCCAGTTGAAATGAATGATGACTGCTCCTAATAATCTACCCATTTGAGACAGCCAGACTGTCTCATTGAAGCAACCCTGACTGAAACAGACAAGTGTTCCTTAACTTAAAAAAAGTGTGCAACCTAAAAAGTGAGTCAACAAAAATGATTTGCAGAAAGGTGGGCTGGATGCAAAGGAAAGGAAGGGATTGCATCTTAAAAATTGCTAGTGACACTGGAGGAGTCCTGGAGGATGAAGACAGACTGGGTTGAAGAGAGAATGTCAAAGTCTGGGCAACAGGGACAGCTCAGAGCGGGGCAGATGATGGGGGCAATTTGCTGTTTTAGGGAGAAAGAGCAGTAGGAACAGATTTGAGTAGGAGAGGGTGTAAAGGTGAGGCCTATAATGGGAATCTCTAAAGGAATGCGACTGGAGCACAGTAGGGACCTCTGAGCAATTAGGAAAAGCACCAATACTAACAGGAGAATAGAGGGGAAGTTAGAAGTTCATCAGCCACTTTCTTTTTTGGGGTCGAGTGTTGCAGACGGAAGAGAAGTAACTGAAAAGGGGAAGGGTACAAGGCTGAAATAATTCAAAACAAAATAAATTCATCTGTGTAGTTTTCCAGTTGAGATGTACTGAGAATATGCAGTTGGCTGTTTGCACAAGTTTAGGCACAGCAAACACCCCAAAGAAGGTATCAACTGAAACTGAATAGAGCACACCCATTGCTTCCATTACATTAGAGGGAAGCATTCACTATATGTTTAAAGACAAATAAGGTGCAAAAATTACCATCGCCCTCTTATTTCAAAACTCAACTGGAGACTTGCGTGACCTCTCTACCAGCTGGCCACAAGTACATTTGGGAGTTCAGTACAGGAAATCAGTTTTTCTACATCCCCATGGAACAAAGCCACACTGCCATAACTGTCAGATTTATAGTCATTGCTTGTGTTCCTATGGGTTCAAGGAGCAACTGACTGTATGCATGTGATGTTCAGAGTACGATGACAGAATCAGCCAGATTTCTGAAGTGGCAGATATTGTACACCCTCGGTTTTCAGCTTGTTTGAGGCCGCAGGCAACAATTCCTGTAGGTTTCCACCCGCTTTCTGGGGATCTGTAGCAACTTTTACATTCCGCAGTACTCAGAGGTTCCATTAATGTTTGCCCAATGGCGGTATCTCTAGGGCTGGCTCTGAGTGAAGAGGCATGCTCAAGATGGCACGGCTAATGACAGTTAGGAAAAACCTTGAACTGATGGGCAACAGTGCTGCAGTGCTGTTCCCTGCATCCACTAGAGCAATCGCAGAACAGCAATGAGTCTTTTCAAGATGTTATTGTTTCCTGGCTCATTTCAGGAGGTGCACTGCAGCATTTGCCAGACAAGTTTCTTGTATAATGATTGTCCACTGAGCACTGCACACCTTGTCTCACAGACTGAGTGAGACTTTCAGGTGGAGGTGTACCAAACACTTGATTCCTTGGATGAGGAAAAAAAGGAATGTTATGGAGTTACTGAAGGGGCAAATGCTGGTTTTGAAGAAGCCAAAGGAAAAGTGAGACAAATTAGACAGGTCTACAATAACCTGATGTGTGGCTAGATTGCGAACCAATGATTTTGCATGAACTTTTCTGGGCATTCCGCAGTAATAGCCTATTGGAATTCAGAGGTGTTCCTGCTTTGCAGCAAATGCTTGTTTTCCAAGTATGAAGCGTTCAGATATGCTGCTATATATATTCTGGTTTTTGTCCCTTGTTACTAATAAATTCCTGTTCTGTTCGCTGGCCAGCAAACATTACAGAATCAAACAGTAAAGAGGATGATATTAGGCCTCTCAAGTTTGCATCGAAAAAAAACTGCCCTAAATCTACACCGGTACACTTTGCTCTGCACTTCTATCACTTGACCCATATCCTTGAATATTATGAAATTTCAAGTATTCATCCGAGTACTTTTAAAGGTTGAGGTTTCCACCTCAACTATCCTCCCAGGCAGTGCATTCCAGATTCCCACCAGCCTCTGGGTGAAAATCTTGTTCCCACTCTAAACTTTCTGCCTTTCACCTTAAAATTATATCCCCTTTTTACTGACCCTTCAACTTATCAGTATGGAGTTGTGCAGACTTGCATGAGGACTGCAGGTAAAAATGCTGTGCTGGTTTCCAGTGAAGTTCTGTACAGAGATGGACACCCATGTACCCAAAGTGACTTCAATTTTTGCTAATCTTCCTAACGCAATGCTGTTGTGCATGTTGGCAGCTGCACCTGAGCCTCAGATGACTTTGGCAGGCTTTCACAGGTTGCCCAGTTGTCTGGGGCTCTCCTGCACAGGTGGAGGAATTTGTGTCCCTGCCACAGAGAAACTGGTGTGGCAGGACTCCTCTGGATTTACCCGAAAGGACTGTCTATGGGTGTTTCCCTGTCACTGAACAGTGGTACTTATCACCCTTGAGGGAGTTCAGGGTCCTTCTGCACCTGCTCCCTAAGTCAGTGAGTGAATGAATGCACGAATACGTTTGTGGCTCGTGCGATGTAGTGAAGGTCTAAGGATATTTCTGACAGCTGCTGACTGTTCTAATTTTTTTTTTGGATGTCCACAGTGGCAGCCACCCAGTCCACGGAGACACCTTTCAACTTGCATGCTGGAGCCACAACATTAGATGCTTCTGTTTTTGTTCCAGTCTGTGTGTGATCATTGCCTCTGCCAGTAGTTCCACTGCTTGTCTGTACATCTCCATCAGCTCTTTAATGACAGAGTCCCAAGGTTTATCATCTGTACTGAATTCAGTAGGGACTTGTTCTTCAGTTGTCTTCTGTGAGAGAGACTTCAACCATTTCTTTCTTCTCCACCTGTGGGCACATGTTAATGCTGTGCTCACAAGAATGTGACCCCAGACTACTGTAGATACCTTTCCACTGAGGTGAATATCTCTGGCTCTGTGCTGGTGAAGGATTGGATGGAATACCTTGGCACTCTTCCTCTACGTATTCCTGTTCTTCAGAATTGTGCTTTTCGCATGTGGCTCTTGCTTGGGTCTGTGATCCGGAAGCTGTATAGACAGTCAAATATTTGAATGTCATAAAATGCCACATTTATCCAAGGTTTCATTTAAGATTTTGCAGCTGGACAAGTGGTTGGGATAACTTTATGGAGGCATTCTACCTCACTGGCTGGAAATATTAAATCTACTCTTCAGCACAGATGCACTCCCCTTACTTTACAGCCTGATTGTTGAAAGTGCTGAGGATCTCTTTGTCACCCATTCCTAACCCCCACTTCTCCCTTCTTGCTATATAAAGGTATGTATAATAGAGTTAAACCTTGCTATTTTCAATTTTTTATTCTGTTCCCTCCCCTCACCAATAATTTTGGCAAGCTGCAGATTAGTATGGCAGCTATCATTTGAGGAGTAAGATTCTACCATAAATAAGTACTCTTGATAAATTGAGATCAGATTTGTAGAACAACTGCTTACTTAGGCACTCAAATAAAAGCCATGATGAAGGGTCTAGGCCCGAAACGTCAGCCTCTCTGCTCCTATGATGCTGCTTGGCCTGCTGTGTTCATCCAGCCCTGCACCTTGTTGTCTCGGATTCTCCAGCATCTGCAGTTCCTACTATCTCTGATCCAAGTACTGCATATGCTGGAGATCTGAAATGAAGTAAATACTGGAGAAACTTGGCAAATGTGGCTGCATGTGTGGGGAGAAAAACGTTGATATTTTAAGCCCAATAAGTCGTCTCTTTGAAATTAAAGAGGGCTGGAAAATGATGAAGTATCAATGGTGATTCTGTTGCCTGATGTGCTGACAATTACCCGGATGAGACTGAGCACCAGCTCTGACACTTGCTCCTATCTCCTGTTCAACATGTCCCCACTGCTGAAAATTGAGCTGTTTTCAGGACTGTCACTGATCTCTTCTTCTCCAGAGACCTTCCCACCTAGTAGTTTCCAAATTTGTACAAGCTGTTTCTATCTTCTTCCCAAATCCATAAACAGGACTGCCCTGGAAGATTATTTCTTCATTTCAGCCCCACTGAACTTATTTCTTCCTATCTTGAATTTTTTTCCCTCTTCTCATCCAACCTCTTCCCATAAATGTTTGATTGTTCTTGATGCTTTTACTGTTCTGTATTTCCAGTTTCCTTGCCCCCGTTCCCACTTCATTGCAATCCATTTACAATTCCACATCCCCGATCAGAATGGTCTGAAGGTTTTCTGCTCCTTCTTTGAAAGGAAGCCTGAACAATCTCAAACTATCACCATCACTGCCAGATTGAGTTTGATCTCACTTTGAACATTTTTTCCTTTGACTTATCACCTTTCTCCAAGTCAATTATGTGGCTATGAATACTCACGTGCGTCCTGCCTGTGCCTGTCTCTGTTTATGTGGAACATTTTCTTATTATAGTCAGATGTACAGCCCAGAAAAGGCCTTTCGGCCCGTTGCATCTGCACCGGTCAAAAACAACCACCTAACTATTTTAATAGCCTTTTATGGCTTAATGTCGAACATGCACATCGTATTCTTAAATATTATGAGGGTTTCTGTTCTTACCACCCTTGTCGGCATTGGGTTCCAGATTCTTGTAATCCTCTGGGTGAAAAAAAATTTCCTCACATCTCTCAACCTTCTTACCTTAATTCTATACCGCTGATTATTGATCCCTCCAAGGGGAACGTTTTTGTCAACTCTATCATAATTTTATACATCTCAATCATGTCCCCTTTGATCTCTTATGCTGTAAGGCAACCAACACTAGTCAATCCAGTCTCCTTTCTTAACCGAAACACACTCTAGCCAAGCAATATGTTGGTAAATCTCCTCTGTGACGTCTCCAGTGCTATTGCATCTCTCTTAAAATGTTGGGTTCCAGAACTGCTCACCAACTGTAGCTGTGGCCTAACCATTGTTTTATACGGTTCCAGCATAACCACTCTGCACATAAACTCGATGCTTTGACAAATAAACGCAAGTACGCCATATGCCTTCACCACTTTATCCACCTGTCCTGATACCTTAAGGGACCGGTGTACATGCACACCAACGTCCCTCTGATCCTCAGTACTTCTCAGGATCCTGCTTTTCATCATGTATTTTTTGCCTTTTTTCTTGTGCCTAAGTGCATCAATTTGCATTGATCTGGTTAGAATTGTCCCTTTTTTTTGTTGGGTCAGCTTTTAGAAAATAGCAAAGTTTAATAGCTGCTCCTTTGTAAACAGTGGTAGCAAAATCTGTCAGTAAGATTCCTATGTGAAAACTGATATTTTGTTGCCGGCCTTCTCTGCAAACAAAGAAGCTCATTTGATTTTTCCTCAAAGTTGATGAGAATTTGGCATATGTGAAATTTCTGTTTACCTGGTATGGACTATGTCCACTTGAAACCACCACCACCACCTCTCTAAATTGCCTAAATATGTTGTTTAAGTGTGGGTTGATAATACCTAAGAATGTGCTTAAGTCAATCTGGAGGTTAATTGTCGAAAATTGCAAGAATTGTTGCATGGATTGCTTTTTTTCTCAGCTGGTTTAATCTCTTGCACGTTACATTTCTTTATTTAGTTTTGTTTCACAATACTTTCTAGTTTCCCTTCTACAACATGTTTGCTTGTGGAAGAATATACAGGGTGTTAGTTTCTTTTTGGCATTCAAATAATGCTCCATGACTTTGACAGGAAGGTAAAAGCATGTGAGCATAACAGTCAGGTATAATTAAAGTTCAAGCTCATTAGCACCTGTCATCATCCAGATGTCAATTTACTGACCGAGGCAGTGCAACCTGACCTGTCCGGCTCTTATTTACATAGATTGCTCTTAGCAGAGCTGACTGGATTTGTTTTGCTATTAATTCTTCTTCTATATAACTTACCATTACTACCATTGATACTCCCCTTGCCTTTAGCTATGGGCACCCTTGCCACCTGTTCCGCTTGGTTCTTACTTTTTTTATCCTGCTGACAAAAATGTCATTTTCTAACCCTGTTTCAGTTCCAAAAAGTCATGTTGGACTTAAAATGTTAATTGTTTCTGTCTCCGTAGAAGCTGCCAGATCTGTTGCATTTCTCTGACACTTTTATTTTTGTTCCTTATTGATACATTTTGGTTATTCATCAGCAGTATTTAGGAAAATTGCAAGGCATTGCACCTAACATAATATAGAAGGAAGGCATTCAATTATTTTTCAGAAAAGTAAAAAATCATTTTTCTTTGGTACTAATTACAGGCAGCAACACAGTGGCCACCAGGAGGTCAGTGGAGATGGATGATGCCTCAGGTGATGGTAACTGATTAAATTTCTAATTAAGAAATATTTGTTCACTATGGAAGGTATCCTAATTCTGCTGTTGATTTCTGACTAGCTTATGGTAGAAAATAATTGGTTAGATCAGCTGGCTTAGTTGTCCAAGCTTGGAAGCTAGTTACGTACAGGGATTATCTAATGCATATAGGTTTATTACAAATTATGTGTATTACACTTTTTTTGGGTTAGTAAAAAAAAATTAGTCAAGGGCATTGGTGTTAGTTGCTGCCTACATTTCAAGCTTAGCTACATTTTGGCGCAATGGGGTGTCCGAAGTTATGGAAGCCTGTTTGTAAGTACATTCATTGCTTGTACAGAAGTTTATATAGAAAATGGCAAATACAAATAAACTGATTGCAATTGTAATATTTTCAATTCCAGGTGGAAGTGTGTTTCATAAACTCTACGTTGTTGCATTTAAGTAAAATTGTGTTACTACACCTCTGTAGATGAAATTTAATTACATTTGTGCAGCACCATTACTGATGGGAAATATTTTTCCATTGCTTACAAAGCATTGGATTAATATTCAGGTGCAAATATTGTTGCTGAGAAATCTGCTTGGTTGTAATGGAGAAGAGATGATAGCTTAATGTGTATGCATTTAAGAATTGAGCATTCTATCCAAAACCTGTGTTTCTAGTTACTTGGCTAAGAAAACCAGTTGTGTTCAAACTTACATTGTTGCCTTTTGACAAATTTTGGATCAGATAATCTTTCCCTTTGAGCTGGTTGGACATTACTTTGTAGTTGAAACAGTCTCATGAAGTTTCTAACTTACATTAGTGGAAATGAAAAATAAGCATCTGAATTACAGTTGCAATTTTTTTTTCCCCACGTCCAGTGTTGAATTTGACAAAGATGGTAATCCTAATTGTTTAACTTGGAAGTATGGAGTTCTTTCTTAAATTGGCTGTGAATAGCGTAAATTTAGATCATTTAGTTGAACTTAATTTACTGTATAATAGTTCCTTATATTGTTTCTGTAACTAAATGTTTCAATGCAAAGAATAAAAGTTTATTTGTAATTTCCCCCTCCATAATTAGCCTACTGCAGGGACGTATGTAAACACCCCGTACCCTGAAATGATTAACCCAGGAACTGTGTTTGTGCAGAGGGAATGTGATGCACAGCAGACTCCATCTTCACCTCTAGATACAGTTGAAAAGGTAATCAACCAACTACAAATACATTTTTTTGAAGCAGCATGCATTTGTTTCCTATGTAAAAATAATACCAAAGTTACGTGGAGAAATTTGTTGCACAATTGATCTTCTAAATGTTGGAAGCGGGCGTCTGAGAGAGGAGGAGATATTATCTCCCTTTTAAATGTTTGTAGTGTCGGTTTTCAAATAGGAATCTTGCTGAGAGCTGTTTGCTACCACTGTTTCACAAAAGAACGGCTGCTACGTTTTGCGATATTGTGAAGGCTGACCCACAAAAAAGTGACATTTCAATCCAGATCAATCCATAGACTTTATTGCCAACTAGGCAACAAGGCGAGATCCTCATACAATGATGGTCATATGATTTCCTCATACAGGATGGGCGATACCCGGCAAATATAGTTTAAATAATATCTGCTTGTCAGCTGAAATCTCGATGTTATCCAGGTGTTCTATTGCAGGCTGATAACAGCTTCTGTATTGGAGTTGCGAATGAAGCTGGAAACAAGGATCATTAGTGAAAAAAAGCTGCGCTATTGACTGAGGAGTCAGAGATCAATGAATTATTGAATTGAATTAGCTTTATTGTCAGATGTACTCAAATGAGTACAGTGAAAAGTTACTACTTACGGCGTCATCTTAGGTACGGAGGTACCTAGAAACAGATTCTTGAGTACAAGTTCTTAGGAAAAGTAAACAGACAAATAAATAAGTCCAGCATTACAGACTTTCAAAAGTATAAAATCACAGTGATAAATTAGAAAAAAATGAAGAAATAAAAAGTTCAGAATAACAATCCTTCCACAATAATATTTTTTAAAAAAGAGAGAATTTAGTCTATTTCTTGGCACTGGGCTCAAGGACCCAAACACCCCACCCACCATGATGCTGAAGAGAAGTTGCATGGAGTTGCAGACTGATGCTTAAGCCACCAGTAGTAGACCCAGACTGATGCCGCAGAAAGGATTCCCAGGCCACCACTGAAGCAGCCAAAAGGCATCCCAGGCTGGTCATTGGAATCCTGAGCCCAAATCTGTCTTGTCTTCAAAGTCGCTGTTGAAGTAGCTTAGTGGAAGAACCCACCAGGATGCAGCCACGAGGAATTGCCAGATCCATATACATTCTTATCTGCTACTGCAGCAGTCTCTCTTCTTCCCTATCTGAAGCTGCCAAAAGATGGTAAGATGAACTTGATATCAGAAAACAAACTTTAGCAAAAGGCTGTGGCAGGCCTGATGATAGAAGCAGACGGACCAGGAACCTGAACACTTCCTACCCTGTCACTGCTATACAGTTAGATAGTTGGACCAATGTTACTTCCGTTTTCTGTGACAGGCACTACTCTGGCGTTGTTGGATCTCCGTCGTTTTTATTTTTGTTGGGATGGTACTTCTGCTAAGTGCTATTTTATCATCTAGGATAGATGCTCACTCTCTCCTCTGGCGTTCGGTTATAGCGACTGTGCATATCAAGATTATGACGAAGGGTCTTGTGTTGGCATTATTGATGCTTTATTGATTATCATTATTGATTGAGAGGAAATTGCTGGGGTTTTTGTAGCCAGGGCACATCTGGATGGTCTTTTACATTGCTGGGTGGATGGCACTTTCTTTGTATTTGAACAGACATGAATGTGACTTAAGTATTAGGTGGTTTTAAGTATTACATCCAGAGAGCTGTCACAGGTGCATAATCTTTGTTTTGTCAGGATATCAGCAGTGCTTAATATCATTGAAACAGATTTACATCACAAAAGAGGCCATCCAACCCATTGTGCCTGTGCTGGCTGAAGAAGTTAGTCAGTCTCAAACCAATCTTCCAGTTCTTGGTCTGTAGTCCTATATGTTTTGACATCTTAGCTATCATTTGAATTAATTGTATTATCTGAACAATGAGAGTGGGGATCTTGAGTGGAGGCCAACTGGATCATCTATTTGCCACTTTAAGCTCAAGGAACTTCTAAACCTTTCACCTTTTTGTCTTTGTAGTCATGTGCTGAACTTCATGATGGTTTAGGATGGTGTCTTCATGGAGGTCCCTGCCAAAATAGGTGTTGATCTTTTGGTTTCTGAATGGTTGGTTTCTAATTACATCCATACCCTTTCTAGCTTGGCGATTTTTGAATACAGATACCCTAATTTCACTAGTAGCATATCGCTTACAGCTGTGCCCACTACGGCTTTAGTGTCATACAGATGTACAGCACGGAAACAGACCCTTCGGTCCAACCCATACACTCCGCCCAGACATCCAAAATTAATCTAGTCTCATTTGCCAGCATTTGGCCCATATCCCTCTTAACCCCTGCCTATCCAGATGCCTTTTAAATGTTGTAGTAGTACGAGCTTCCAACACCTCCTCTGGCAGCTCATTCCATTCGTGCACCACATGCTTTGCGAAAAAGTTGTTCTTTGGGTCCCTTTTAAATCTTGCCCCTTTCTCCTTAAACCTGTACCCTGTAGTTTTGGACTCCCCTCACCTGGGGAAAAGACCTTGACTATCCACTCGATTCATGCCCCTCATGATTTTGTAAATCTTTATAAGGTCACCCCACAGTCTCCGACGCTCCCAAGGAAAATAGCCCCAATCTATTCAGCCCCTCCCTGTAGCTCAAACCCTCCAACCCTGGCAACATTCTTGTAAATCTTTTCCGAACCCTTTCAAGTTTCACAGCATGTTCCCTATAGCAGGGAGATCTGAATTGAATGCACCATTCCAAAAGTGGCCTAACCAATGTCCTGTACAGTCACAACATGACCTCCCAACTCCTATAGTCAGTGCACTGACCAATAAAGGCAAGCATACCAAATGCTGCCTTCACTACCCTGTGTGCCTGCAACTCTGCTTTCAGGTTACTGTGAACCTGCATTCCATGGTCTGTTTGTTTGGCAACACTTCCTCAGGACTTTTTTAAGTGTATAAGTCCTGCCCTGATTTGCCTTACCAAAATGCAGCACCTCACGTTTATCTAAATTAAAACTCTGCTCTTGCTTTGCTATTTAAGTTGTTCTATGAATGACAGTTGGTAATTTTGTTTAATGGAGTGAGGGATATACCAGGTTGTGATGGTATGAATTCATGGATATAACTACCTAGTTTGATTTTCATGGATTGCTTTCAGACTGTTGCCTGGGTTAGTGACAAAGTCCTCACAGTGAAAAGGAGATTTGCATTTTGCAAGGCCTGTGCAGTGGTCACTTATCACTGCAGTTGTAGTTGGATGTGTCTGCATGGGATAGTTGGGGATGAGGTTAGTTAGATTATCTCATTGTGATGGTTCTCTCCAGGGACGTTTTTCTTTTTTCGCGGCTCCACTTGAGATTTTCTGGGCTCTGTTTTCATTCTCATGAAGGTGATGCTTTTCACATAGCGAAAGTGTCTCCTATAGTTGTATTGATAACTAGGGTTTTGGTCTCAAGTTTTATTAGAATAACTTATTCATTCATATATTCAATTGTCTCCATTAAATTAAACATGCAATGAAGGCAATAATGTTCTGAATATTGCAGTATTTCAAATGGTAGGACATAACTAAATAAGTTAACTTTTTTCCAAAATAACACACCCTACCCCTACATCCTTGCAATGCCATCATCCTTAATAGACCTTTCATAGAGTAGAGAAGTGACAGCTGATGTGTTTCCAATGCACATGTGCAATGCTGGAACATTTTAAGATGCAGTTGCAAAGCTATGTCATCTCTGATCTCAACTTTCTCCACCCCAACATGCAACTGCTTCCTTTGACTGCTTTCCTCCGACTAACACCTTCACCCAGACCCCGTTGGAAATCTTGAATTCTGGAACTCCCAAACAAAGGGCTTGTTTGGCATAATGTTCTGCTTACTTGTCCGTGGTGGCCCTAGATATTTCTCCTGGCCCCTCAATGTAATCCCAGACTTCCATGGCTCCTGGCAAAAAAAGCCCCTGCCCCCAGTACTGACCAAAAGTGGCTCTTGGTAATCTCTAGATATGAGCTCTGACTTTCTTAACTGCTATTATTCCTTTAGTCACAGGATAGTTCTCTCCATGTTTGCTGCTAATAGCTTTATTTGGGAGGGACGATTCTGCTGATTGGTCATCTCTGGGAGCAAATTTTTACAGGTGTATTAGGGACTTTGAGGGTGGATCTGCCCGCCTTTGTATTTTGAGCTTGGTCCTTTCATGACCTGTTAAGGGGTCTAGTCTGGAAATTTTGGCCTTGTGAGATTGGCTGGTGACTGCAAACCAAGTCACTATGCTATGGAAACTGAAGTCCTTTTTCAGAATTTATTATATTCAGGTGCTTCCCTTGGCTTCTTCCGAGTGATATTTAATAAGAGGAAAATTGACTCATTGTTGAAGGGGTGTGACAAGTGATGATCAGAATTTTCCCAAAGCCTCATTTGATATGTTCTTGTGGTCTGAGGTCATATGACCCCAGATGTTGATGCCAATGTCTACATTTAGGCAAATGGCTGTAATGGCACAGTTTCCCAAGTTGAGGCACCTAGCGCATATACAAGAGCATCTTGCATGATTATCTGGGCTGAGGTTGCACTTGAAGTATAGTAGCTAACTGATTCTAATACTGGACTACCAATCCGGATGTTGAGAGTTTTGTACTGTGAAAGTAGACCAGGTTTCAATGTGGGTACAGGTATTGAAATGTGTAATAAATCTGTGCCTGTTGCTTTTGATGCAGACAGCACCTAAACACGCTTCTAAGTGGCTGCAACCTTAGCAGGGAGCTCAGGTTTATGAAACTGGTTACAGAAGAGTGAGCATGAAGAGCACCAAATTATGATCTAATAGGGCACAATGTGCTAGATGTTTCTTGGGTGGCATGCTGTACACTTTGAAAGAGGTGGACAAGAGTAAAGTCCCTTTATCCATTAGGGCCGCAGATAAACTCTAATGGCAGTGGGAGCAGATAGCTTTGATGTTTGATGCTGAGACTGTAGCTCCAAGGACCTGGATGCAGTATTACAGTATGTTCAGTGACCTCAAAAATGGCAAATGTGA